TGCAGATCAAGTGGGTTTCAAACCAACACTGATTAAGAGAGACAAAGAAGGACACTACATTTTTGCAAAGGGAATAGTCCAAGAATAACAGATGACAATCATAAATATATGTGCAACAAACACTAGTGCGCCCAGCTATGTAAAACAAATACTAATGGACATGAAAAATTAAATAAGCACTAATACAACAGTAGTGGGGGACCTCAATACCCCATTGTCACAAACAGATAGATCAACCAGACACTATGTAAAACAAATACTAATGGACATGAAAAATTAAATAAGCCCTAATACAACAGTAGTGGGGGACCTCAATACCCCATTGTCACAAACAGATAGATCAACCAGACAAAAAATAATGAATACTAGAACTCAAACTCTTGAACAAATGAACTTAACAGATGTTTACAGAGTGTTCCACCCCACAAAAACAGAATACACATTCTTTTCAGCTGTACGTGGGTTATTCTCCAAAACAGACCACATACTTGCTCATAGAATGTATTTAAGTAAGTGGAAAGGAACTGAAGTGACCCCTGTATATTATCAGACCACAGCGCAATGACATTGGAGATCAATAGCAGAAGAAACTGCAAGAATTTAATAAACACATGGAAACTGAACCACACACTTCTGAATAACCATTGAGTAATAGAGGAAATTAAAGAAGAAATCAGACAGTTCCTACAATTGAATGACAATGACAATACAGCATATCTGAATCTATGAGACACAATGAAAGCAGTTCTACAAGGGAAATTCATAGCAGTGAATACTCATATTAGGAAAACAGAGTGAACTCAATTAAACAACCTGATCCTGAACCTCAAGCTTCTAGAAAAAGAAGAGCAGGACACACCTAAAACTCACACAAGTGGGGAAATTATAAAGATCAGAGCAGAAATTAATGCAGTGGAGACTAAGAACAATAAAAAAAACAATGAAACCAAGAGTTGGTTCTTTGAAAGAATAAACAAAATTGACAAACTGTTAGCCAACCTTGCCAAAAAAAAAAAAGAAAAGACTCAGATCCATGCAATTAGAAATGTAAAGGGTAAAATTACAATGAACCCAGCAGATATCCAGAGTGTCATCAATCCTTGCTTTGATAATCTATATACCAATAAGATGGAAAATATAGAAGAAATGGACAGATTCCTAGATACATATAAATTACCAAAGTTGAATGAAGATGATCTAAAAATTCTGAACAAATATCGATCAATGAAATTGAATATGTAGTTAAAAACTTACCAACTAAGAAAAGCCCAGGTCTTGATGGCTTCACTGATGAATTCTACATGACATTTAGAGAGGAACAACTGCCACTACTATTTAAACTCTTTAATGAAACTGAAAGGGAAGCAATACTCCTGAATTTATTCCTGGAAGCAGGCATCACCTCCATCCCCAAAGCAGGGAAAGACCCAACTGAAAAAGAGAACTATAGGCCAATCTCACTAATGAACATAGATGCAAAAATCTTAATGGAAAATAGAATGCAGAAGATCATCAAGATCATACACCCTGACCAAGTGGGATTCATGCCAGGGATGCAGAGATGGTTCAACATATGCAAATCAATAAATGTAATACACTATATTAATAGAGCCAAGGACAAAAAATCATATGATCGTCTCAACAATTGCAGAAAAACATTTGACAAAATAGAACATGCTTTCATGACAAAAACCCTATAAAAATTGGAATAGACAGTCTCTACCTCCATCTGATAAAAGCCATCTATAAAGACCAATGGCCAATATCATACTAAATGGTCAAAAACTGAAATTCTTCACACTAAAATCAGGAACAAGACAAGGATGTCCACAATCACCACTCCTGTTCAATATAGTTTTGGAAACAGCCACAGCAATTAAAGAAGAGAAAGAAATAAAAGGAATAAAGATAGGAAAGGAAGAAGTCAAACTGTCATGATTTGCAGATGACATGATATTCTATTTAGAAGACCCGAAGGACTCCACCAAAAGTCTTCTAGACTTAACCAAGCTCAGTAAAATAGCTGGATATAAGTCAGTACACAAAAATCAATAGCTTTTCTGTCCACAAACAACAAACTCACTGAGAGAGAAATGGGACAAACAATTCCTTTCACAATAGCACCCCCCAAAATTGAAATACCTAGGAATCCACCTAATGAAAGAAATCAAAGACCTCTACTCTGAACACTATAGATAGCACTCTGAAAAAAGAGATTGAAAAGGATATCAGAAAATGGAAAGACAACACTTGTTCCTGGGTAGGAAGAATCAACATAGTGATAATGGCCATACCTCCAAACCTGCTATATAGGTTCAATGCAATCCCAATTGAAATTCCAGTAGCATACTTCACAGATCTTGAGAAAACAATCCAAAAATTCATTTGGAAAAAGAAGAGACCTAGAATAGCAAAAGCAATTCTAGACAACAAAGAGAAAGCAGGGTGTATCACAATCCCCAACTTGAAACTATACTATAAAGCTACTATGAAAAAAACAGCATGGTAACAGTAAATAAACAGACCAGAAGACCACTGGAACAAATCAGAAGATGCAGAAACAACTCCAGACACACTCAGCTCCCTCATCTTCGACAAAGGAGCCAAACATCCTCACTGGAGGAAAGACAGCCTGTTTTAAACATGGTGCTGGAAAAACTGGATTTCAACTTACCGAAGATTAAAACTACACCTATATCTCTCACCATGCACTAAACTAAAATTGAAATGGATTAAAGATCTTAATATGAAAATAGAAACACTAAAACAGCTGGAAGAGAGGTTAGTAGAACTCTTGAAGTCATTGGTGTAGGAACAGATTTTATGAACAAAACCTCAGTTGCCCGTGAACTAGCACACACACACAAAAAAAAAAATCAACAAGTGGGATCTCTTCTTATTAAAAATCTTCTGCACGGCAAGAAAAACCACCAACAGTGTGAAGAGATAACCTGCAATGTGGAAAAAATTTTCACCAGCTGTTCCTCAGACAATGGTCTACTATCTAGAATATATAAAGAAGTTTAAAAAATCAGACCTAAATTGAAAGACCCAATTAAAAAAACCAGCATCTGAAATGAACAGACATTTCTCAGACAAAGAAGTAGAAATAGGAAATAAACATATGAAAAAATGTTCAATGTCACTGGTCAATTGAGAGAGGCAAATGAAAACAACACTGAGATTCCACCTCACCCCAGAAAGAATGGCTGCTATCATGAAAGCAACCAATAACAAATGCTGGCGGGGTTGTGGGGAAAGAGGAACCCTTCTCCATTGTTGGTGGGAGTGCAGACTGGGGCAATCAGTCTGGAGATTCCTCAAAGAACTAGGATCAGAGGTCCCATTTGACCCAGCTATTCCCCTGCTGGGTATCTTCCCAAAAGAATAAAAAATATCATACCACAGTTATACATGTGCACCAATGTTTATAGCAGCACAACTCATGATAGTTAAAACTTGGAAGCATCCCAATTACCCATCAACTGGAGGCTGGATAAAGAAAGTGTGTGTGTGTGTGTGTGTGTGTGTGTGTGTGTGTGTGTGTGTTAAAATAAAATGGAGTACCACTCAGGATAAAAATGAGAAGTCAGAGACATTTTCAGTTAAATGGATGCACATTGATACTCTTAAGTGAAATAAATAGGACACATATATGTAAATACTGAATAGTTTCTCCAGTGTGAGAAACTGAAAGTGTAAATAAGGACTAAAAACTATAATAGATAATGTGAAATAGGAAGAAAAGAGGAAATTGGAGGGGTAGGGGAAAGGAAAGAAAGGCATGGAATATGACAGAATGAAAAAGTGGAAACAAAGACTGTGTAGATAGGGAGGGACGGAGGAGTTGAAGGGAGGGCAGGGGAGTGGGGGAAAAATAAGAACCAAGATGGATTATGTGAAGGTGCAGATTTCCAACGATGAACGTCATTATACTGTACACCTTAAATGCACCAATGCAATTAAATAGTTGTGTAAATGGAATTGTGAAGTATATAAACATCTAGGGTTGTGATTTTTCACTCAGCGCAAGTCTCTGCAGATTTATCCAGGTTTTAAAAATGTTTCACTCGCTTTTTCCTTGTAATGGACGAATGGCATCCCACGGTGCCCGTGCGCTCCAGTCTATATAACGACTCAGCAGTGGAAGGGTGTCTGCAAGGCTTACAGTTCTGGCTGTGGACATCCCTGTGAGTGGGACATTCTGTATCCCTGGTTTCATTTCCCAGAGGTGCCGGGGCCAGGTTACACCCCCACTACAGAATGGGTCACCAAGTTTCTCTGCGTCCTCTATAGCATCGGCGTTGCCATTATTTTTAATTTTCCTGACTCTGGTGGTTGTATGGTTTCCTCTCGTTAGGGTTTTAATTTGTTTTTTCCAGGTGATTCACCGTATCAAACACTTCCTCCTGTGTTAATCCTGCTTTCCCTATACATTTCTCAGTGAAATATTTTTCATGTGCTTTGCCATTTTCAAATCAGAATTTTAACTGTGGTTTGAGAGGCCTTTATATATTCCTGACATTACTATTCAGTATGCAAAAATTTTCCAGCCCAGATCTTGTCTTTTATCTTCGTAACTACATCTTTTGTAGGAAAAAAATTTTCATCTAGATTTTGAAATCCAATTTCAGCTTTCCTTTTAGAAATTATGTTTTAGTTTCACGTTTCACTACATAAATGTAGATCCTGAGGTTTCTCTCTTACTTTTTTCCCCTAAAGTTTTGTATTTTGCACGTAACGCAGAGACTCGTTTTGAGAGTTTTTCTTTGTTTAAAATGTGAGATTTTGTTTTGCTTTTGTTAATTGTAGATTCCTAGTTGCTCTTGCAGCATTTAATAGTGTTACCTCTCGGTTCTACTTGGAGAACCCCTTCCTAAGGAACTTAGTATGAGACTTTTTAGCCATGCAGTTATCGCTGGAGGAAGAGACAAACGTAGGGTAGGAAACAAAGCTGGGATAGGAGGGTGTGGGGAAAAGAGAATTTTTGCTTCACTTACCCAGTAGCAGCAACAGATACTTTATCTTCATAGTGCTGAGATAACAGAAAGAACAACCTGAGAATCCCTCTTGACAAGCGTTCCTGAAATAAATAAAGCCCATGTAAACAAATTTCTGAGGGCCAGAAAAATTGAGATACCAGGTGGTCAATGAATATAAAAAAGATGCTGATTTATCGTTCTCTGTTGACCCAGTAATTCTGTTCCTAGGAAACTATTTCAGGACAAATGTTGCAAGTGTGTTGACAGCAGACCTGGGTATAAGAAACAAGTTTACCGCCCAAGAATGGTGAAGAATACACGTGCTGTACTTTACAATTCTTCTCTACAGCAATTAGCAAAGTTCATACTGGCAAAAACGATCTAGGGTTTTCCTTTACACATTTATCATTTGTTTGTAAATTTTTGCAGAAGTGCTTGACATCACTGTAAACAAGTTTTCCACAGACTTTAGAAAACATTGTGTGAAGTGTTCTCTCTATGGACATCATTTAAAAATTTAAGACGCTTTCTCCTCGTTTACTCTTTCATTAATTTATGTTTTGGGTTTCTCTTGAAAGAAAACTGCAAGATATTAAACTTTCTTATCTGCCTTACCTCACTTACGATTGAATGTTAGTGAGCAGTTGAGATAAAATTTCCAGTGTTCATTAGCAGAGATAATGTGCTTTGCAAATATGATAAACCACGTAAGTGGTAATGCCAGCTCTCAGCACCAGATGGAGATATACCTAAATACATTTCACAAAGGACCAGGGATTTAGCTCAGTGGTTCTGGTGCCTGCCTCGCAAGCGCAAGGGCCTGAGTTCGATCCCCAGCACCCCCCCCAATCATAAAGAGGAAATGGAAAGACAGCACTTAAATATGTACAGTGCAAACAATTTGATATCACACATTAAAAACAGTGTTTGGGTAGCGTTAGGATGTAAAGGAGATTGCAGAACAAAATGCAGATTATCACATTCAAAGAAATTACAGATGGAGCCAGGAGTGGTGGTGCATGCCGGTAATCCCAGCACTCGGGAGGCTGAGGCAGGAGGATCGCTGTGAGTTCGAGACCAGCCTGGGCTACACAGTGAGTTCCAGGTCAGTCTCAACTACATAGTGAGACCCTGTCTCAAAAAATAAAAAAAAAAAAGAAATTATAGATGGTGAAAAAGGAATGCCATTAAGAGTGATTTTAAATTTCTTTTTATTTAACTTTAACCATAATTTTTAAAACATAGATTCAGCAATGTTAAAATAATAGTAACAACAAAGTGTTTTCATAGAAGAAATGAAACACTTGAGAAACAGTTTTTAGATATCATCATGTGTTCTAATATATCCATTCTGGTTTGATCTCTGAGTTTGGAATCTTTTAGGAATTGCTGCTGGTTTGTTTGTTTGTTTGTTTGTTGGTATTAGATTATTGGCTTAGTAAACGTTTATTTTCTTCGTACATGTTTTCAATACAGGAAGTTTCCTGTCGTCTTTATAAAGCGCGTCTCTCTCCACACACTGCCCACACTTGGCGCTGCGATTGGCCGTCAGCAGGCGTCATAAAGCGATGCACAGCAATTCTAAGTGGAAATTCCAGGTTTTCAGCGGCAAGTGGAGTGGTCGTGTGGTTATGGCTTTGTTCTCTACTTGGCAAACACAGATCTGAGAGGAGGCACCTACTTCACAGCATGGTTGCGATTCAGCAAGGCGAGCCTGCGGGAAAGGGGTGCAGGGCCAGGAGGGAGGACAGGAAACACCCAGGAGTCCGAAGGGCGGGTCGTCGGGCGCACATCGCGCCATCGTCACCGCAGCTGTGCACATTTAGAAAACGCCAAGATCGAGACAGCGAGAGAAGGCGCGACGGCGGTAAGCGACAAAGGTGACCGTAAGGAGGACAGGTAAGGGTGTCGGTGCGGTAGCGATGCGGAGGTGGTGACCGTGCGCGCAGAAGGGGTGGGTGGCGATCGATCGGACAGGGACGGGGACGGGACGGTGCGGTGGGGCTGGTGCTAGAATCGGCGCGGTAGCCCCAGTGTGACGGCGCTGTTGGTGGCGCTGGTGGTGTTGATGAGAGAGGACAGGAGGCCATGATGAGGTCAGCAGTGACAGTGGACATGATAATGCGACTCCCCCGCGGCGGTGAACTCACTGTTTGAGTTCATCCTTTATTTTGTGGCTCTCAGTGACCTAGCAGGACATTGGGCACTAGAATCTTGCTACCTCAGATTCTGCTACAGAGGCTTCTCTGATTCCGCGCGTAATCACTTCTTAAAATAATTCACAGAACTTCATTTTGGCGCCAGGAACCTTACGGAGAGCTTTGTAAATGCCACATCGTGAAAAGTTCACAGACGTCTTACGATGAAGATCTTATGATAATTCTAGTTATCATAGGCAGAGAGGAAGGTTCGAAGAGATTATGTTACTATCGAAAAGTCGCGTTGCTAGGAAATGCAAAGCTAAGATTTTGGCAAAAGTCTGCTTGAGTCCAAAGCTCACGAACAACTTCTTTGCTGAGAATGTGTGCTCCAGTGTCCCTCGAGAGAGACATGTAACATGAATAATCATGCCTATTAACAGGAGGCGGCGGAGGCTGAGGATACTGGAGATCACGTACCCTACATAGAGGTATGCATACCCAGCTTTCCTGTAAGTGCAGAAGCCATGAGCTACCAGCTTGCCATCTGCGTAAGGCAATAGCGCTTGACTGAAAATCAAATTCTCTACATCTTTCCAGATCAATTATATTTTTGCCAGCTTTTGACCCATTTTTTATTTACGCTTTTTCTCCCTTGCAAAAATAATCTACTTGGAAGGGGTCTGTACGTCCCCCAACAGATGAACGGATAAAGCCAACGTGGTATTTACACACGAGGGAGTCTTATTCTGCCACAAGGACGGATAAACTTTGAGACGTTTGTAGGAAAGTGGATGCATCTTGAGACCGTGATGCTAAGTGAAATAAATCAGATACACAAGCTTTGAAACCACATGGGTTTGCCTTAGATGAGAAACCCAAATTATAAATAAAGAGCAAATTAAAATACAGATAAAAAATAGGGAAACAGCTCTTTCTCAAAGAGGAAAGGGATCAAGAAATGGAGGGGGGGAGGGAGATAAAAAACTGCGTTACGTACATGTGCCAACTCCACACAAGAAGTATAGCCATTATGTACGACAAACATATGCTAACAAAAGATAAATAATAAAAAGTATTCTGTGGAGGCTCAATGTAAAGCACCCTTTTCCAGATGAGAGGACAGATCTCCTTTGACTGTTCATCTGAGACCAAGTACACTAAAGTAACAGTTATATGTAAGAGAGGTAATAATATACATCAGAACAGCTGAGGGACCTTCAGTGATGGTGATTTGGAGAGATCTAGGGCCATAGTTTAATGTAAAAAGAAACATTTCATCAGGAAGAGAGAGAGAGGGAGACAGAGAAAGAGAGATCAAATTTCATTAAATGTTATACGCTATATGCAGTACCAATATTTTATAATTATAGTCCTTTTAAAGCTGGGTGCGGTGGCGCACTCCTGTAATTCCAGCACTCGGGAGGCTGAGGCAGGAGGATGGTGAGTTCGAGAGCAGCCTGGGCTACATAGTGAGTTCCAGTTCAGTCTCAACTACACAGTGAGACCCTGTCTCAAAATACGCCCCCCAAAAATTATAGTCCTTTTACTTCTGATTGCTGCAATACTGTCTGTGTCCCGCTAAGTTGATTCCATGATTACTTCTCCACTGAGTCATAACTAACTCACTGAGCAATGTTAGCCTGTAAACGACGTTGCTTCGGCTAAGCAAAAGGCATACACCCTTCCCACTGTGAACTCAGAGTTTAATTGTGCTGGGTTGTTTACATGGAGGTGATGGGCCCGTATCTTTTTAGATTCTGTTTTCCTCATTTTAAATAACAAATTGGTTAGATGTTACATTCGCGTTAGCCTCTGCTTCTTGAAGCTTTATTATTTTAGCTTGCCTTACGTCGCTGAAAGTACAGCTCCCCACATCACACGAGTGCATCAAGACACTCCAGGAGAAGCCAACTATTCCACAACAGCACACACACTCCCTGCCAAAAAGAATGGGAAATGAACCTGACACATGGCCACACAGTAACTTTCAGAGAGAAAGCAGCAGGACGTATAAGAAGTTCTCCTTGAAAAAGGTTTCCAAAGCCAGGATATTTTTGCAAACCCCAGATGACAAGTGACACATTTTTCTTTGTCAAAGCAATAAATTAAGTACTTACTTACCCTAAAGAGAAGAAGTCCTTGGGTCTCATCCAGTCTCATGCCCTCTCAGTACTAACAAAACAGGAAGTACACTGCTACTTATCTTGAGCTCCACTTTCTCAAAGACTTTTGTGGTTGGGCAAGAAGGCTGGCTTTGTTCTTGGGGAATTTGCAAAATGCAAGGCTCATGAATTCTCTTTCCTTAGAGTAACTGAAATAGTGCATTGGCCCGAGGGGGCCATATTAAAGTGTCTCAGAAAATGAACGAGAAAGGCGAATGATCTTCCACAGGGGAAACCAGACGAGAGTGTGGTGTCAACTCCTGTGTACGCCAAGGAAATGGATCCAACTAGGAAGAGGGCCTTGTGATTGCGACTGTGAACATGATCAACGCGTGCTATGTGCATGCGTGCAGATTTCTCAGTGAATCTTAGTAATGTGCACTTAATACATGTTAATCATAATTTTTAAATTTTAATGCAAAATTATAGATTACTATGAGAGAGAGAGAGAGAGAGAGGGAGAGGGAGGGAGAGAGTGAGTCAGCCTATCTTTGCTTTATCTAGTTCTCTAATATTACTTCCTTAACTTACTGCTTTGGGTAAATAAATGCCCAAATACTGACACTTCATCTTTGTCCGTACCCAATATAATCACTCATCTACTGTTCACAGATGCACCTCCAGCCACAGTTGTGATGTGTTCTCATCTTCTGCATTGAGTCCTTCGAGGGCCCTGTCTGAGCTCTATCCGACCGTCTAGAATACTTCTACCTAACTTAGCTGTCTGTAACACTCCCCCCTCTGAAGAGGCAGCCCTAACTGCTCTGAGGGGGAAAGGAATGATGACCATTCTGGCTG